GGAATGCCATTTGGTTAGTAAGTGTCCTGAAAAGAATGTCAGTTGACTACAATTAAAATACATCATCTCACTGAGAACTGTCTTCCCAGGCTAAGTAAGCAGTTTACTGTTCTCAGTAAACTTCAATTTCTATAGCAATTAATGGCAGCTGATGGTGCACAGTCCCTTCAGAAAAAAGGCCACAAGATTTTAAAGTTTTTGGAAATGCAGATCAGATGAGTTCACTTGAGACCTTAAATGTACAATGTATTCTGTGCCTCCTAAAGTTTTTAATTAACATATTAATATACTGGAACAGAAAACCGCTAACATGAAATCGGGCTGTTTATAAATACCACCACACATTTATCTACCAGCAAACGGATCATTTCTTTGTTTTGTCCAACACAAGGGATGAATTATTCACAAGGCCCAATTTCGTATGCCTATTGTGTCTGCTGGTAAAGACACTGTGTGTGCTAGAGCACCAGGAAAGCTCAGTGCTTTGCTTGCAGAATAGTACTGTGTGCCATCCAGGGGCTTATTGTGTGCTTTCGGGTTAGTGGAGCAAGCACAGGGAGTTAACAGTGGCATCAGCTGTGGAAGCAGCTGTTTTGCCCACCCTCTGTGCTAGAGGAAATGTGCTGCAGGGTTGGGGGGTTTTTTTGTTTTTGTTTTGTTTTTTATCCCAATAGGGTGTGAATGAGAAGGAGCAAGGGAAAGATTTGGGGGATCAAAAAAGGCAGAATGTTTCACAGTTAGCGCTGCTGTTCATTCCCCCCCCCCGCCCGTTTGAGCACACGCTGCCTCCAAACTGTTCATGAGTCATTTCATCCTGGTAATTTATGTATCAGAAGTTTTTGCTTGTGGAATTCAGAAATGATTTATTCCTTACTTATTGCTTTATTTACTTACCTAATGGATTGATTGATGTGCCAGCATCCCTCAGGCTGCAGAGGCCTCCTGTTTCTGCTTTTTTCAAACAAAGTCAATTGCTAACAGACAGGAGTTTCACAAACACACTAAGTCAGACCTTCCTTATTGTTCTGTGTGTATAATGAGTTCCTGTTGGCCCTTGTACAGTACCTGTCACTGACTACCCATTTAAACAGAATCCTGCACAGGCACATAGGGAGTCGTGGAGAGACTAAATGAATAAAAAAAAAATTGCAAAAAGCCTGGAACATAAGCAATAGTTTTAGGCCAACCTAGACACCTATAGTAAGCAGTTCTCTTGAACAGCACTTTCCCAAAAGTAATAGAGCCATTCTGCAACAATAGGAGTTATTACAATTCCATCTGGCATCGTTTATCTGCAGATGAGAGATGTGTAGGCAGAGAAGTCCACAATTTAATTTACTAAAATGGAGACCTCAGATTATCTGTTGCTTTGTGTGACTATCCAGCTCATTTTTATTTTGAACTGGATGCTCGTTGCTGGAACAGATAGAGAAGTAATGATCATGGTGGTGGGGGGTGGGGAAAGGGTGGTAATGGGCTAGGACCCTCATGATCCCCCATGATCTCTCTTTCTCTCCCTCCCTTCTTCTATATATTCTTTCCATCATCTCACTTCTTATTCTGTCATTTTGAGGAGGGGGCAGGAGGATTAGAAAATAGTCTGAAGGGGATCAGTTTTTGAAAGCCTGGGTAAGGGATGCATAGACAAAGGAAACTCATAAATATGTTTTTCGTGGGCTTTTCCTGTGTTCTCCCACAAATAATTATTATAAGAGCAGGTTTTTCATCTTTGTAGTGATTTTACAAAATTTAACTACTTAATTCTCAAAATCCTTTAAAAAGTGGGTGTTTTTTATAACTGTTTCATATTCACAAAGGTTAAGTGACTTGCTTAAGGCATTGTTAGAGCTAGGACTAGCTCCCAAGAGTTTTGGCTCCCAGCTCTGTCTTTTCTTGATGCGTCCTAATCTGAGATAATTCAACAATGTACAGTGGTGTAGCTGGTGGCATATACCAGAAATGTATGTTATTTGATTCAGTCCTGATGCTAAACCAGTTGGTTCCCAGCAAATCAGAGAGGGTATCAGAGTGCTCACAAACCAGCAACCACTGCCTCTCATCAAAGTCTCTTAGTAGTTAGCTTGGCACCTTGCTATAAGGATAGGTATCTCATAGTATTAATATGGGATTGAAGTGATAATGTCATGTTACTGTGGAAGCATCCATGCTAACAGATGTATTCATGCCATGGCTTATACCATGTCATTATGCAACTGCTCAAATGTAGATTTTTTTCCTAAAGTTGCTCTGGAATTTCAGCTTTCATTAAAAATATTAAGATTCATGCTTTATGGTTTTCAGGATAATTTTCAAAATATGAAGTGAGTGTAAACCACTTCAGTGCAGTCTATCTGAGTTTGCAGATAGTTTAAAATAATAGTGCTGAGAGGAGTCTGAACTGGTTCTATTATTCGCCTTAGAGTTTTAATTCAGAATGCTGCTACTGACAATTTAAATATCTATAATTGTAACCGTTTCACGGGTCCTTTACCAAAACGACCTAGGCTGTATTTTTGGCAGTAGCAGTGGTAGAACATACGGGACAAAGGTTTGTTTTCATGAGCTGCTGTGTGGGTAACATGTGATTTAGCCATTCTTTCACAGACAAAAGATCACCTCCATCCTGTGTAAAAAAAAAAAAAAAAAAAGTCCAGTATGTTAAGATGAATCACTTGGACTGAATTCCACAATTGCTACCTGAAAACCAAATCTGACTCCCATTCATTCCTGAGTGCTAATGAGATAACAAATATTGCACTGGTTGTTCTTTTTTCTAGTAGGCGAACTATAAGGAATAAAGGGCTTATATAGAGAATGTACTGCATAACTTTGGGGTTCCAGCCGAATAATTTAGGTTTAATGTTCTGCACAGGGCGAATGTCCTTAGATCAGCTTCTGCACTTGCCCAGTGAGGTCTAGATGCATTCCAGATCCTAAATAGAACACAGGCTGAGACAAATACTAGTGTGGTAAATAAGACTTAAGTTTTCTTTCCAACCAGCGTGCCTCCTAAATGTTTCCTAAGCATTGCAAGGTCTCAGAAAGTGTTATCAAAACAACAATGTGAATATTTTCCAATGAAAATTGGTGAAGTGCCAGCTAATCTGTCAGAAACAAATATATTTGAAGTTTTGGATGCAGGATTTGCCTTTCAGCAAGTTAGATGAGTCAAGTAAAATGGCTTTAAAATACCATTTTGAGGTTTTTAAGCTTAAGAAAATGCCATTGGGCATTAGTTATGTTCCTGAGGTATTTTAAAGAGTAATTTCACAGATTTTTGAGGGATTACAAGGTGCTGAAGTTGTAATGGATGATGGTTTAATTTGGGTTGGAGTTCATAAAGAACAAGCAAAGATTATGGGAAGGTTTTTAAAGGGCAAACTTGGGCCATTTAATTTTAAGAAGTCCAATATTGCTGTAGCCACTATTATCTGTATTGGATATAAATGGAGCAAAGATGGGCTTAGCTTGTGATTCTGATAACATAAAAGCAACCGTTGAAATTCCACATATGAAATGTAAAATGTATCTACAGTGTCTTATGGGTATAGATTAAATTCTTTCATACATGTTGATAATCAACAAAGCCTCAAGGGAACTGCTGGAAAATAGCTTTTCCTGGCATTGGCAAGGTGTTCACAAGCAGGTGTTTCAACAGTTACACTCCGATCATCAGTCCACCAGTTTTAAAATACTAACATATAACTAAATCAGTTGTATCATCTAGCATTGGGTCAGAGCTGAGACAGGGTAGGTTCTTTGAATGCTGTTCTAACTGACCCGTTTCAATGGCTCTTGTGGATCATAGAATCACATGCCTACTCACCACTCCTCCTTTTCCCTCCCCTCTGGTCTGACCCCATGTTCTCCACATAAGGCCATGGGTGTTTCCCCCTGGTGCTTGCACTTGCCTTATTACCTCTTTTTGCCTGTTCAGCAGCAAAACCTTCAGTTGGGCTCCAGGTATATTCCATAAGCAGGAAGAGCAGCCAGTCATGTTATATCTGGATCTCTAAACAAGGTAGAAAATTCTGTTTCCAGGATGAAACTGGATTTGCAGGCTTTATTTGCATACCTCGATGGATAGATGAATGGATGTGATTATATAAATGGGATTCAAATAGTTGACAAATTTGTTTTTCTTTAGGAAAAATACACAGCACAATACTAACTTAGAATCCTACACAATACTGAAAAAAGGCTGTAGGGAAGCTTTCAGCATCCCCAGTGGGCATGTCTACACATGCGCTTTACTGCAAAGTAGAGTAATGTGCTGTGTTGTAAAACATCACTGTCTACATATGTGTGGCAATTGGGCCAGTGTAGACTAATTTACAGCACCATCAGGTTGTCCCGTCAAACACAGGGAGTAGCTGACAGTGGAGTAAATTACTACGCTTAAACACATGCGCAGATGGTGATGTCAGGATTAGTTTACTCTGGATCAAATTGCACCAGAGTATATTGAGTCACATTAATTGCACATGTAGATGCACCCAGTGACTAGGAGTCCTGACAGGGAGCCTCTAGGCCAAGCACAAATCCAGCTTTCATAATCTCTGTTCCATTTCCTGATTTTACGGAAGTCACTATGTGATGAGTGGTAAACTCCAGTATGACCAGAATGACAGTCCAGCTCTGATCATGCTTTAACATAATCTCTCTGAAGTGAGTCATAGCACTATCATTTCCTTAGAGAGCCAGCCAGATACAAAGAGAGAAGGAAAAAAATAGCACTGACTAATTAAGTGACCCAGTAAAGTATTAAATGATATACTGACTAGTTACATATTATGGTATCTCAAAGTTAAATGTTGTCATAAAGCAACTAAAAGAGACAGTGTGCATTGGGGGGTGGGTTTGGGGGGGGAGGGGTGGGGGGAGGAGAGCGATAAGGCTGGGTATCAACTTGCTAGAATGGAAATGGATATGCTAATAAAACAATGTAAGGGAAGCACAAGGGTGGCCATGTGTTGAGCCTCTGAGCATGTCCAATGTGAAATAGACATTTCCAGAAGCCTGAGCCGACCCAGCTGCACTAATTATTCATGCCATTAATAAGTGCTGTTTTTTTCTTTCCAACCAACCTGCCTCCTGAGCACTTACTAAACATTGCAATCAATGCTAAACCTGTTCATAGGGAAAAGCCTTATCAGAGTGATGGAATTATCAGTGGCAAGATTCAAAAGTAGCAAAAGAGCACCATGGTGAATGACAACAAGAGGGTGTTCCAATAGTTTATGAATTTGGCAAAGCCATAGTGGGCCCATCTCTTATGAAGGTCAATTAAAAATGCTAGCTGCACTGTAAACATCATTTTCCATAGAACAGTGCAGGTAGCACAATGCCCAAAGTAGTCCCTTAATACAAAATATCAATTTGATTTTCCTCAGGAGATTAGCTCTCCTTTTGCAATGCAAATATTTTCAAGTGTACTAAACACATTCTAGCACCTCAACATAGGCACTAAACTATTTGCATGCAAAATTACCCAGAGTAGGCAGACTGGCACAAGCTTATGCTAGCACCATATGTGCTGAAGAATTTGAGCCAGGAAACAAGTAGTATCTGGACACTATTTACAATTTAAATTTAATTTTATATTATTATTCAAAAGAGATGTTAAATCCAAAGCTTCTATTAAAATTAATGCGCCGCATGAAACTAAGTCCACTCTAAAGTTATATATTCATAGCTCTTCCTTTAAAAAGCTAATCCAGTTCAGGAATTCAGTGTATTAACTCATCACAGGTATAGCTGTTTTTTTCTATTCTCCACACTCCCATTTTTTAGTTGTTCAATTCTAATCTCAGATACTGGCCCCAAACAACGTATGGCTTTATCAAATGCTAGAATTTGTGTCACTTCATGCTATCTCCAACATACTGTGTGAAATAGGGTGATATGGAAGTTCAGCTATTATACATAACATAAGGAATGATCTCACCCAAACTAAAACCAGCCTGTAAGCAGCAATCCTGAGCTAAACATTGCTCTTGTTTACACCACAGTCAATGTGGGGGCTTCTGAGTTTAGTTGAGTTGCTGCAGGTTTATGTTGGTGAGAAGAGAATAAGACCGACTATGTATGTCAATGAAATAGAAGTCTTATGAAATAGCATAGTGCTACTCTGTATTTCATAGGTATCTGGAAATCTCAGCCTCCAGGAATAACAAGAAATAGTGCCTGCTGCTTCAGAATGTCCATAGTGCAATCTGATTGCAGCTCATGTAGACATATTCATGTTAATTTAAAACTGGTGATTTTGGATGACAACAGTTGCAAAGCTATGGTGGTCTGGGCTTCATCTGCCAAGTAGCTACCTAAGGGCCTAGGTTAGCTTGTCCAGTTGTACCGTTTTGCTACCAGTATCTGAGCCAGCTAGATTTAAGCTAGGTTAAGTATGCAGCTATAACACCTCCCAAATGCAATGTAAACACAACTTTGTATGTGACAAATTTTGCAGCTAGCTTGAATGGATGGTATTCCCTTCGTCCAGAGCTATTTAACCATATATCTGAAACAGGCACCTGGTAGTGTCTATATAGAGTCAGTATTTACAGGTAATATTTGTACTTTTCAGATCAGCTTTAATGCCAAGGAGAAGAAATCATTTGTCCTTTCAGCTCTGCTACAGTTGAAGAAAATCCAAGGGGCTAAAGGAATTCAGTTAAAAGAGAACAAAAAAAATTGTTCCTTCAAATTCAGTTTCCAACTCTGTGAGCAAAATAATTTCCAGATGAATCTGGCATATTTGGGGGGTAGGGGTTTAAATTTATTTCCATGTTCAACCTTAATTGAGTCTAACAGACTGGTAAGAAGATCCACTGACTGACTGAGAAAGGGGAGCTATCAACGCAGAGTTGTTCTGCCCTCTCAGGAACAGCATTATGTAGTATGAATTCGAAGGCTTAGATGCTGTACATGAGTCTCTCTCTGAGCTCACTTATCATGTCAGTCAGTGATGCTATCTTGTGTGTGTTTATGATTGTTCAAAATTGAGTCCTGTGTGTCCATTTCAGTTTGAAGTCTATAATATAATCTAACCTTCATCTGAATCTTTTTAAATAAAAGAACTGGCATTCATTTTAGCAATAACAGCATTGTTAAAACCAAGAGAACAATCTTGGAAGACTTTCTTAAGATTTGCAGCTGGTGTACCTAGGCATAACTTCTTTTACCTGAGTCATACAGGTTTATACCAGCTGAGAAGCTGACCAAAATTGGTTTTATTTTTCAAGGTAAATGCTGATTGAATAAGTTGGATTTAGCCCCGTATGATTTAGCCTCATATCTTACATAATATATCTTTTCATCACCTTTTTCTCCCCCACTAAAAAAATAAAGAAAAGCCTCCTCTAAATCTCTTTTAAATGAGTTATACTCTAGTACATTCTTGACCTGACTAGAAGATATTTTAGGTTAGATCCTTTTTTCTTTAAAAAAAAAATCTTCTTTGACTTTTGTTCCATCTTAGAAATGTTAAATTAGTACCTCAGTGCATGAACCCATTTCTGAGAAGGCTTTGTTTTAAGAGCCAACATTTCTATTGCAGTGACTTTCCAAAAAGACCCACAAAAGTACTAGAAATCTGCGGTTCTGTAGAAAGTTTAGTGGAAATTCTCTACGTTTACATGTCTCCTCTTGCATATTAATAGCAGAACATTTTAAACAGTGGTTTGATTTAAAACATTGAATTAATTAAGTGGCAGAGAACAACTAAGTGAATTGATATGGCAAAACAAACTCCAATATCTCCCTCTACTGGCTCCAGAAGAGAAAAACAAGTTTGATTTTTACAGGGAAAATCTCTTTTTTAATTAACCATGAGGTGCCTTAAAGAATTGGCCAAAGTATAGATTGAATTGTACTATGAATTGTTTGACTCTACAAGAACTGTGCAGTTATTCAGAGAGGGAGGGGATACAGATGCTCCCCTATCAAATATTTGCATGTCAGCTGGGGAAAATCATGATCACTGTGCATTGTCAAATTTCCCAGATCTATTATTTCAACAATAAGTTCTTTAGAGCAGGGATCATCTTTCATTCTATATGTGAACAGTGCTTAGTGCCATGGGACTGATCCCTGATGAGAGCTCCTATTCACTTCTGTAATAACAATAATAAATAATGGTAATATAATATGTGCTATTTCAGTGATTCACAACTAGGGTGCTGTGAGATCCTTTTAAGGGAGCTACAGAGTATCACTCAATATTAGCACTATTAAATATGCAAGCATCTACACATGATTCAAAAGATAAACCCAGAGATTTCAAATATGAGTCCATAGGGTCAAATACATTCTGACCTGTTGTGGTCTTTTTGAGTTCTTTGAAATAGAAGAATTGTTCTATTAGTTTTCTGTAGTCATAAAATGAGGGAAAGCTAAGAGCTGGCATTTCCCAACGGGGTTTTTGAATCTAATTACAAAATTTCCAGACATGTCCTTGAAGAAGCCTCCAGATAAAAAGGAATCTTACATTCATCCTTCTGTGACCACTTACCTCCCAAACTACACACAAAATGAATCCCTTTGTGTGAATCTTTTGGAGACATTTTAGAAGTCTAATAGACAACTTTAAATCAAGAAAGCAAAAGTCAAAGCATGTTTCACAGGCCAAATGGAAGGTGGGAATGCTCAGAGTCCTATAAACAGGATGTGACTATGCTTGGCTCTTTCACAAATCCTCAAGTGTACAGGAGGGAGACTAAGAGACTTTCTGTGCTTTTGTATCCCATGCAATGCCCAGGCATGGTTGTAATCCCTGCATTCTTCTGAGTGTACAGACTGCTTACTGCTAACCCCTTCTTGGACAGTAGACACTGTAAAGAGCTTAGGAAGAATGAGGAGCCATGTTTTCTTCTCTTCTTTGAACAGTGTCTCTCATAAAGCTGGCTTGTTGCAGAGGAGGGCATGTGCTGTCACCTCCCAAGGGGTACACTGAGGTAACAATGGCCAGGTACAAACATTACATATAAAATGGTCTAAGTGATCAGAAATTTGTCTAAACTCATAACCGTACAGGTCACATTGACCGGTCTAAAAATGTCAGAACCTAGTCTACAATAGAACTGGCTTGATGTGCACTCAAATCTAATTGATTTAGGTTAGACTAGTGAATTGAACTTCTGTACCAGATCCCCTACTGAATCAAGTTAGATGACTGTCCTCTGACATCCCAGCCTCCTTTGCAGCCTCCTCCCCACTAGCAAAATACCATCTCGGTGTCTCCCCAAACTCTGCTATCTGACAATCGATTACCATGGTTACTGTAGAAGGCAGAAACCTCTGGCCCCATTGGCTTCAGGTAACCCTGAGTTGTAACCTGAACTGGATACATTCCTGAGGGAGGGGAAAAACTTGCTCCCTCTGCCTATGTGACTGGCATCACACACCTGGTGGGGCATAAGCTCCCTATTGTTCTAGGCAATGGGAGGCGGCTAGAGACCCTGCCAGTCTACCCAGCACCCAGGGATGCATTTCAAATTGGTTGGCTAGCAGCCAACAGTTGCCATTGGATCAGGTAAATGAGGTCATAAGATCTATATAAATTAAGGACTGCCCAGGAGGTGGAGCAGCTGGCATGATGAGAACTCTCAAAGAAGCTGGACCATCTGAAACTTGCTCTCTCTCTCTTGACACTCATGGTCAATGAACTGCTTGCTTCCAGAGGAAATCTCCACCTGCCTCTGGATGATACTTGTGAGTAAGCCACTTGAGATCTAACTAGATATATAGCTTGCAATAACACAGATATGTAATCAAAGGCTACTATGCCACTGTTTGCTCTAAGGTATTTCTCCAGTATTGCTGTACCCTCTACCCTATTCCAAACCTGCTCCTCTTAACCAATAAAGTTCTCCTTTGTACCTAGCATGGGAGTCTTATTGGGAGAGGGTCTACATTATGCCTTGGGGTCCCCTCAGTTCAGCTGACTAAGGGCGGCCACTATTTGTGTTTCAGATTGAGGGAAGCACCTGCAAGTTCTTGCAGTGGGTCAAGTACCTTCAAGAACTACTAGGCCTGTGTTTCCCAGAGGGAGCAGATCCAAGATCAGTCCAGACTCTGGGTGGTGGCAGCATTACCCCCAGGATTGCGGGTGTGCTCCAGAAGGGGGGGGCATCCAGATGTGAGGCACCCCCAGGGAGGCAGTCGGAGCCTGGAAGGTGGTCAGGTGCACTGAGGTGGGTGGCTTAACACAGGGGCACCCCCTACTGCCCCGCCACACCCCTACTACCCCCGTCTCACAGGGAAGCATGCTAGCACTTAGCCTGTGCTTGGCTGCTTCAGCCAAATACCCAGTGGGCCTCTCCTCCAAGGTTTCCCAGAGTCAAACCAGCACAGACCCTTTCCCCAGTCCTGCTTCCTGCCTCTGACCTTCTGTTAGCCACAGGCAGGGAGTGGTTCAGGGAGGGAAGGGAGGCATTTGTGCCCCTTGCATGAGCCTTGGGGCCTGAACAGAGTCCTCAGGCCATGCTCCTGTACCCCATCATGGAGCACTCTTCCATGTTCCAGCTGGGAGCTGCTTCCATGTTGCAGGTGGAGGACACTGGAAATTTCTGGGACAGGGCATGGTGCATTGCAGAATCATGGGGTGTCTGCTGGAAATCCCTGGGTAGTTTGAGGTTGTGAGGGTGGCCTGACCAGTAGAGTCCTGGTCATTCTGGAGCAGGGGCCACACCCAGCTGCAGTGAGAGGGAAAGCTATGCACCAGGAACCCTACCTGCATGCATCCTTTGCTTCTTTCATCCATCCATCTTCTAGCCTTCCTGGCATCCTTCCATTCATCCTCTCTCAACCAGATCCTCATTGGCCCCTGGACATCAAGACCCCACAGGCACTGCTGCAGACCATGGATGACCCCATCCTGTCCTCCTGCACTAACCAACCCTCGTCTCACAACTGAGACTACAGGGAGATGAGGGGTCTTGATGCTATCTGGGTCAAAGAGGAGACCCAGGAACAGCTCCAGAAAGGGCATCGGAACCAGGATGTCTTAAGGCACATTGCCCAGCAGATGCAGGTATGGAGCCACAAAAGAAACTGGGAGCAGTGCCATGCCAAGACCAAGTGTATGAAGATGCAGTATAATTGAATGTATGATGTCAACAAGAAGTCTGGGACCCAAAGGCAGACCATGCCCTTCTACAAGGAGCTGTCCTGCTTCTTCACCAAGGACATGGTTGTCAAGAACCCATATACCTGTGTCACCACTGGGGGGTGGGAGGAGTCATCAGCAGGGACCCTGTTAGAGGAGGAGGTGCAGGAAAGCCCCAGGAAAACAAGACAACTGGGTGCCCAGGAACAGGTCCCCAGGAGCCACAGGACAAGAGGTTAGCACCTGAAGCCAGTCCACAATGAGTTTATCATGTTAGTCCTTGTCCTTGCATCATCACAAGAGCCAAGATGCTCCTGCAGCTGGATCTGAGAACTCTTGACAACTTCTTGGGCATGGCCAAAAGCAGGGAGCATGGCATACAAGAGCAAGGCAAAAGCTCTGATGCCACTGAAATTAGGACCCAGGACCTGGAGTCCAAGCTTGTGCCTTCCACCTCATAGAATCCCTCACCACCCTGGTCCTTGACCCCACAGACTGCAGCTGAGCATGTGGGCTTCAAAACACTGTTCCCCACACTTCTGCCACAGGTGTTCCAGACCCACTCCTTGGACATCTCAGTGCCCCTCTTCCAGACATGCAGAGCTCCCCTGCCCCATCACAATCAGCACAGAGGCCAGTGCTGCAGCATGATTTCCAGCACTCACAGCCAGCCCTCCCCCCACTTCTGCTGACAAGTCATGTCCTGAGTGAGGATGCCATGCAAGCTGAGAAGGTACATTTCACCCCTGTGCCATGCAGCTGTGGTGGGGACCCAGACCCTAGAGGAAAGGGTGGGGTGGGCACAGGCCATTTTCATGGTCACAGCCCTCTCTCAGGCCATTGTGGCTAAGAAGCCCAGAATCACCCCACCCTGACTGCTCATAGCGCAGCCCCAAACCGCTAAGTGCTCAAGAGGCTTCTGTCTTTCAGTAATGGGCAAACCAGTGTGTCCTCCCCAATTTCATCTTGGACTGCAACCAGGCCCCTCATGCCCTGGCATTGAGTGGTTAGCAGCCCATTTCCCAATCTATGAGAACATAAATCTGCCTCATTCATACCTCCCTGTGCTATCTTTTAAGGCCATGCTCGGCTCGAGAAGTGGAGCCTCCTCCCAGCTGGCCAGAGCAGTGGTGCTGAAACAGCCCTCCTCTCCCCCTTGCACTCACAGAAAGACACTAAAACAGTTTATTGAGCTCTGCAGACACAGTGTAAAAAACAAGTACAAATGCCAGTGCTTGTCGCCCTTCCTTGGTTGGCAGCCTCATGGGCCTGGGTAGCAGAGAGGACACTGAGGTCAGGGATATAAGATAACACACAGCTATCTATGAGAACCACTAGGGTTGCAGTACAGCAGGAA